ATGATCATCATAAAAACACTGATAGGAATTTTACTCAGTCCTGAAGTCCTGCTGTAAATGTATACATGAGATGCCGTAAAAATACATTTGCAATACATTTCTTTGAAAATATAAGTTTAGTGTAGTAATTTTCGATATAATGTTATGAACTGCTTATAACAATTTTAAGGGTACTGTAGATTTTTTTCTTCCTGTAGAGCAGTAGTTTCCTTCAGAAAAGCCATCCTGCAGTTTCTCCGTGGTTCTGCTACTTTGAATCTTATTCTTTGGAAAACGATATCTCAAAAAGGCATTGAGGGAATTTTTTTCCAATTTGGCACAACTGTCCCCTTGGTCCAGGGATGAACTGAATAGATTTTTGTTGCCAAAGGTCAAGGTCATTGTGACCATGTCTGTCTCATTCTTGTCAGTGGGATATGTCAAAAACACCTTAAGGGAGTTTCTCCACATTTGGTACAAAGATCCACTTTGACTCAACGATGACTTCACGGGTGGGCAAAGGCATACAACAGCAAGGCAGTAATTTTATTTTATTTTATTTTTCAATTTCTTGCTTGCATCTCAAGAGTGCAACTGTAACGGCCACTCAAACCAATGTCACTTTGACATGGCGGTGTATTTGGCCACGGGCAACGTCAGTGGAGGAGTGTGTGACGACTGCCTGCACAATACCATGGGACGCAGCTGTGAGATGTGCAAACCTTTCTACTTCCAAGACCCCAACAGAGATATCAGGGACCCACATGTCTGCATAGGTGAGTCCTTTGACCTTGTAGAAAAAAATGTTTCCAGCCATTATGTGGAATTGTCCACTGCAATAAATGGCATATAAATTAGGTCTGATATTGAGTAGGAAAATCTTATTTTCACTGAAACAATTGGAAAAAATTTGCTAGCTAGTGGGTTGTAACGATTTCATTTGTTTTTTGTGCAAGTGCCAACTCATGGATATTCTTATTTTGTCTTTGACTGAACATACCTTCAGTCATCAGTTAGGAAAATGCCTGAAATCCTTGAGGCTACATTTGAATCCATTGAAGTTATCTCTCTGCTTTGACAGAGTTTAAAATGAATATGAACAACAACACTTCTGTAAGAAAAGATGTAAGAAAATAACAAAAGCACAAACAATACATGCACATACACTCTGCGTACTTCTCTGTCTATTCAAGTTTCCCATTAATATGATTTTGTGTTTGCCTCTCATTCTTCTCCTGCTTTACTTACTCTCTCCATCGAACCTCTGACCTCCAGCCTGTGACTGTGACCCAGTTGGATCACTGGAGGGAGGAGTGTGTGACAGTCACACTGACCTGGACATGGGAATGATCGCAGGACAGTGTCGCTGCAAAGGCAACGTCAAAGGCACGCGCTGTGACGACTGCAAGGAAGGTTATTACGGACTGAGCCAGAATGACCCGCTGGGTTGTCAGCGTACGTATGTGTGTTTGTCTGCCGATGAAAACACCTTGTGTTTGAACAGGGATTAACATGAAATCATGGTGTTTTGGAATATAAAACCAGATAATCTTCTATTAATATCTGTAATGTAAATCTCATTATTTGTGTATGTGTGTGTGTCTTCATCAGCTTGCAACTGTGACCCCCGTGGCATCATCATGATGGGAGCTCCTTGTGACCAGATCAGTGGGGACTGCTCCTGCAAAAGATACGTCACTGGTCGCTACTGCAACCAGTGTCTGGTAAGGGACAACTGTTAACCTAAAATGTGTTGCTTATTTTTTGTTTTGGATTCAAATATCATATACATGACTGTAACCATCATTTGTATGAAGAAAACCAGAGACAATACAGAGTTGGGCTGTTTGACTGTTAAATGTTACACTTCCAGGTGCATTTTTAAGCAAACCCAGAGCTGTTCTCTCACTCTCTGATGACTCAATTTTGAAGGTGGTTTTCTTTTCATCAGCCAAGGATAGCAATATATCTTGGTGACATTGATAAAAAAAACATATATTGTATAGCAACAACTGCATAAGCTGCACAAGGACAACAGAGCTTCAGACACAGTGCAGAGTGTGGAACCTACACAAAAGACATGACACTGTGCATCCTGGTTTTGAAACTGATATCCATCCCTGCAGCCTGAATACTGGGGGCTCAGTAACGACCTGGCCGGCTGCAGACCATGTGACTGTGACTTCGGTGGAGCCTTCAACAACAGGTATAGATGATAAAATGTTATACGTCTACCTTTAATCATATACTTTTGAGAACGAGGTATCTTGTACTTTCCAAGTCTTTATCAGTTAAAGTTTGCCTCTGTCTGTTACTTAAGGTGTATGATGGAGAACGGCCAGTGTGACTGCAGGAGGCATCTGATTGGTCGACAGTGTTCAGAGGTTCAGCCTGGGTATTTCTGTGCTCCGCTGGACTACTACAAATATGAGGCTGAAGATGCCACCGGACACTCTCCCGGTGACTCTGCACTGCCGGTGAGCATGCTACTGTGATTCAGTGTAGCTCACCAATTCACATTTCAGGTCACTGTGATTCAGACTCATAATAGATCTCCAAAGAACGGAAGCTGCTGTAGTTACTAGCTGCTGGATGAGAGGATGTCACCGTGCAGCAGCCCTCTCGTTCTTTGGTTCCGGGGATGCGCGCTCCTTTACTGTAGACTGTGTGTGCTACAGGGTTAGCCACTAAGGAGACTCTGGCTGCATGGCAGTGACAATCTTTGGCTCGAGGGGTGTGCGCTTTGTGCTACCGACTTAGCTGCTAACAAGAGCCTGTCACTTTGCAGCGGGTCGATCTTCATTTCAGCCCTTTTAGCTGACTTGCCCCCAGTCTCTTAGAGCAGAGAATACTGCTCATTTTTCAGTGAAGGGATATTTATTAAAACATGAAACTGAATTATATTGATATTTAGGGGTGTAAGATACATCAGTGTGGAGTGATGAATCAATTCAATGATCCTATATCATTGATGCAAAGTAAAAAAACATCAATACATACGGTCATCTTTAAGATATTCCTGTATTTTGAACTTCCCATCACTCATCTGTGCCACACTTTACGTCAAAGCGCACCTCCTTCTTTAACATTTAATCAGTGCTAGCGGCCTGGCACCAGGCAGATATTGGTAAGCAGCCAAGAAAGAGACAATGAGAATATTTACTGATATCATCACATATCAATCGCCCCTGAATTAAATCAAATCAAAAATCATATCAAATCGTACCATGACAGACTTTCTGATATCAACAAATATTGTGTTGTTGTCCAAAGTAATTAATATAATACTGAATCATAATAAAACTTGTGATTAATATTCTCTATTATTATTATTATTCTCTATTAATATTCTCATGAAGCTCCTCCCATCCACAGCAAAGAGACAGCCACTGAGACAGGCCTGTTCCTGCTGTCACTGATTCATCTCATCAGTCTGCATCACCATCTCTATCCTCCACCATATCTCTCTTCCAATTTTTCACATTCCTTACTGTCTCTGTCTGCCTCCTTCACCGCCCTCCACCCACCTCCGTCCTCTTCACTCTAAAGAGACCCCCTGCCCCCTTCACTTCCCCATCCAGCCATTCGGGCAAGCTCAGACAGCCTGCACTTACAACATCAACACTGCAGGAATGTGGAAAAAACGCAAGTATTGACTCAGAATGTTATGAGAATAAAGGCAACAGTGCAAAACATTGTGCAAGAAGAGATAAGTCATTGACATATGAATACTGTCTCCTGTTCAGGAGGGGGAACATGGCTTGTTTAACTGATGCTGGATGGAAATTGAGTGTACATGCTGAGGGACAAAAAAAGAGGAAGAGAATGTGCAGGATACAGTCAAAGTCCTGCATTTCTATAAAGCATTCAAACGCTACAGCTGAAGTGACCCATAAAACTACAGACAGTGCCACAGATACCAACCTGTCACAACTAATTATTGCAGTGTGGTACACACACTTACCAACACATACAAGGCACACACAGAAAAACACACTCTCAGCCTCACATTCTTTGTTTCTCTCTGTCATGCTCTGGCAATTTCAGCACAGCATGGGTCTTTGTGCTGTGTCATGTCATTTTCACTTTTGGAACAAAAAAGTTGGACAGGATGAACCGCTCTAAGTTGTAACAAGTACTGTTATAAAAAGGTCTGTGTATGATCGCCATAAACCCTCCTCTCCTCTCCTCTCCTCTCCTCTCCTCTCCTCTCCTCTCAGGGCAAAGTTCGTCCTCAAGCAGAGACTGACTGTGTTCAACACCTCAGCAACCAGCTTAGGAGGCACCGACGTCACCGACGTCTTACCAACTCGCAGCAACATCGGGCAGCACTGAGACGTATCCGCCAGCTTCAACAAACAGTATGATATTTGCTTTGATTGGCATAATGATTCTATTTATGATTTGACAAGGTACAGACAAATCACTCATGGCATATTTGCAGGTACAGAAGTGAACTCTGTTGGTTTCCAACCTTTTTGGCTTGTGACCCCTAAAATATGTCTACTTGGGAGCCCTAATCAAGAATTATGGCCTTGTATGTCATGAGTGTTTCTCCTTTTTGGGTTTGTCTTGTTTTAAGGACAGACAAGAAATATGCAAAATAAGAAAATATAAGTAACTAGTAAGTCATTTTCTGCAACAGATTTTGTCTTCAGTCATCTGGTGACCCCTCAGATTTTACTTGGTCACCCTAGAGGGGTCCTGACCTCCAGTTCGGGAACCACTGTTTTGGTAAACAAAACTGTAGGTATGCTATTAGCTGAGCAGTTTAAAGGTTCCTTTACAAAGCTTAAGCAACTGAGAGGAATGATGTATTCCAGTAAGTTATAGTAGTGATTAAAGTTAGCTAAATCTGTCAGCCAGCAGTACATTTTAGGGTTAAGATCTGCATGATGATCATTTTATCATAACAAATGTATAGCCTATGTATTTGCATGACAGTACAATATTTCTAGGCTTACGTTATTTGTCTGCGGTCATGTGCTGTAAGCACTACTTGGCAATATGAGGGTGCTTAGCCTAATTAAATGCTTGGCTGTCAAGTTAATTATGTCATTTTGAACCAATTGAGCTGAAAGAGAGGTGAATATGGAGTGTAGTGATATTTGGAGTCTAATGTTGTAATCACTACTGAAATTTAGACACAGAGTAAGAGCAAAAGGAGTTGAACGTCACAGTTGTATGTAATGACAGTACCTGAGCACATGTACTAACTGTATTTACTTTTCCTTCATGGAGCTACATGTGAGACCCAGAGTCACTCAGTGTCCAAGCAGGTTAGAGAAAGAGACAATACGAGAAAAAAGGGTGCTTGTGTGTGTGTTTAAGTGTGTTGAGACTCATATCAAAAACAATGATTAATCCAGAGGTTCTCAATTTGACCCCTTTAAAAGGTAGAGAATATTGTAGGAACCCCTCATCTTTGTAGCTTCATTTTTATGTAGACATGTTACATTAAAGCTATTACATTAGAACTATTATAAACTCAAAGATTTAAATATTATGCTTTGAACTAGGTTCCTTTTGTAAAAAAAAAAAAAAAAAAAATTATATCATGATTATTTAAATGGATGAATCTAAAAACTTTTCACAGGCCCCTTGGCTGAGTACCACGGACCCCACTTTGAGAATCACTCATTGCTCAATTCCTCAATAGCCTGGGAACATTACACTGCTAGTGTAGCTGCTGTAGCTGTATGTAGGCTATATCTATGTTGGAACAGAAATTTCATAACTTGTCTGAGCACCAACTGTACTGAGGAAAGGACAGGATGCTCAGTAGAGTTCATGGTTATTTATCACCATTAATTATTCATTGTTTGTAAAAAAAAAAAAAAGTAAAGCTGCACTTCAATGAACAAAAACCTTCCCTTGATTATCATACCACATTTGACCATCTAACAGTATAAATTAATCTTCAGACTTAAAATGATTATATGATTGATTAAGCAGTTCTAGTCATAAAAGCCTCTTTATAGACTTTCCATTCCACGAACCTGAAATACAGAGCAGCCACTTGTCACCCTAAAGGAAGTAGAAAGTCAGGTCAGTAAGGGGAAACAGAGATTGTATGATTATAGTTAGCATATAAGTAAATATAGTATGAAGTAGACATTGTAACAATTAAAAAAGAAAATTATTCTTTGGTAATCTGTCTGTCTCTCTCAGCCGGATGTGAGGACTGTTCATAGAGAGCACGCTCCCAGCCACATGGTAATGTGGACGGGACCTGGTTTTGCTCGTGTCAAAGATGGTGCCGGCCTGGTGTTCACTATTGACAACATCCCATATGCCATGGAGTATGACATCATGATCCGCTATGAACCTGAGGTATGTGATGGTGTGGAGTGTGACATATAAGACTGATGAAAACCTGTTCCTAAATAATAAAGGTCTTTTGAACTGTGTGTGTGTGTGTGTGTGTGTGTGTGTGTGTGTGTGTAGTCCACAGAGGACTGGGAAGCTATCGTTAGCATTACATCTGTACAGCTGCCGTCCAGTCTTCGGTGTGGAAACCTCCTACCAACTGAACAGCTCTACACAGTGATTCTGCCACATCACAACAGGTACTAAAACTTGTCTAACTTATGAAATATGTAAATAGAGACTCTGTAAGCAGTTTTGTCATGAGCTTGGCCCTTTGTGTGTGTGTGTGTGTGTGTGTGTGTGTGTGTGTGTGTGTGTGTGTGTGTGTGTGGGTGTGTGTGTGTGTGGGAGAGAGAGAGAGGGACAGAGAGTGGGGCCATTGTATCCTGTATGTTTGTATAAGTCACTAAAGTCACCCAGGTGTTGATAGGCTTTGTGTTGTTTTATAGCTCAGGAAGAATTGCATCAATTACATTGTTGTCACTTAAACCTGCCCTGGCTTGTGTGCTCTGTATGACTCAGGTCTGCACAGTATTTGTATTCTTATTTTACCGTACCCGCGGTATTTCTTTACTATTGATTCACTGATATAAGGGCAAACATACCAGAAAGCCCATGTAAGAATCAACTACAGAGATAAGAAAGGAAGGCAGCAGCTTTGTTTACTGAAGTTTAGAGAGGGAAAAAATTAGAGGACAGGCAGAGAACGGTACAGTCTGGCAGATCTATCTATATTCCTCCTGACATTTCACCGGTTTATACGGTATATCACAATACTTGTAAAAATACATGTAAAAAAATGTAATGTAAAGGTTATTGTAGCATTTATGTCATTGTCTAGCCTACAATGCTGTGGTGGTGCTGATATGCAGTGACCTACTACTTCAACAAGTCTTACTGGGTTTAAATACTTCTGGCCAATAGAATAATGAATAGATAGAAGATACACATCCTTCTTGTCGCAGGACTCGATAACACTTGTTGCAGCAGCAGATACTGTCACATCAGTGGGCTGAACACATATGATGTGTTAAATAAAATCATGTGGCTAATAAATTGCTTCTATAGTTGACAGTAGTCATTATCAAGATAAAGTTTTATGTGGCAATACTCGGGAGGACGAAGACATTATGTCCGTCCTTCTCATTCTTGTGAACGTGATATCTGAAGAGCACCTTAAGGGATTTTTTTCAAATTTGGCACAAACGTCCACTTCATAGTTCACTGTGACCTTTCATCCGTCTTGTTCTTGTGAATGCAGTATCTAAAGGATGCCTTGAGGGGGTTTTTTGAAATGTGGTACAAACGTTCTCTTGGACTCAAGGATGAACTGATTAGAATTTGGTCAAAGGTCAAAAGGTCAAGTACACTGTGACCTCACAAAACATGTTTTTGGCCATAATTCAAACTGTAAGTGCAACTTGACTGGTTCAAGGCATTCAACTACGAGCCTAGTTCTTTTTTACTACCTTTATACTGTTATCCCCACCACTCGCAGTCACCATCTTTCTCAGCTCTGCTGCCTGTTCCACCAGTAGAGACTGGCCTCTGGTGGTGCGTGCTGTGCACTACATCACCTCAGTACAGCATCTCTGTCATTATAATAGAAAGAGGAGCATCTGTATTTTTGACAGTATTGAAAATCATACCTTGTGGATTTCTCAGTACACTTTTTTGATACCCCCCAAGCCCAGTGGTGTAGTGGAGGGTATACGCAGGAATACTGGGTATACCCACCTCTTTTTCAGACTGTATAGTACAGTATAACCACCTATCAAAATATATGTAGGAGAGCATACTCACTTCCTCCATGGTAACTTACCCTTCTACTTAGTTGTACTCTTACCTCATCAGCTACCACTACACCACTGCCAAAACCTATTGTCCAACCTGTGCAACCATACACCTGGCCCAGGTTCATTGAAGCTTTAGTTTTTTTCCCAGCCTTCCAAGGATCACAGATAATAGAGACAATAGTGTGCCATCAGTATGAGCCATGACTTAGAGACTTCAAAGCAAAGTTTTTTTTCCCAGACCTTTTGACCTGTAGGTAGCTATACTGAAATTATAGGTGTGTTTAATGTCCACTGTACCTGCCAGCTGCAATTTTGAACAGACATTAATGTTCCCCACAGGATGAATTGTAAGAACTTTGATGATCCTTTTAAGTTTTCATCAAGCGTCACCATCAGGTCAAACCTCAACTCTGTCCATTCTTCAGACATTCTTATCAGCCTCATCTCAAACTATTTTTTGTTTAATAGATAATTATATTTCGTGCAGTACACATTTTCATTTTTAATCTGAGTCCAAGTCATTTGACTGTTCTTAAATTACCCATTTTAAGGCTTGTTAGTAGACTCATTTTATCTGCTTGAACAGGAAGATCATTAAAAGCCTGAAATCATTCAGCACCTTACTGACCTCATGTTGATCTTCTGACATTAAAAGCTTATTGCACTGTTGCAAAGTCAACACATCAGACAGATTACTGCAGATTAGACAAGATTAGGTGTTACTTATTTTTGATATTCTTGAAATGAGGGAAGCAAATAGGAGTAGAATATAGGATAAAGAACAGGCAAAGCCTTACACTAAGACTGTTAAGTTTCAATCTTCTGAAAAGCCTTTCAGAGTCTGAAATCATCTGGAACTAAGAGGTCAGGCTCTGCCCGGATCTGGCTGTCTCAGCGGACCGTAGTTTGCCTTCCGTTTTCTTCTGTGGTTGGTCCATCAGCCAAAACCAATTAACAAAGTGGTCCAAAACACAGAGAGAGGGTTGGAAACCAAACACAGGTAGAGAGTGTATCTAATTGCCTCTGGTAAAAAAAAAGTGGTTGCTTTTGAAATAGACAAAAAGTCAGATGTGGAAGTAGAAAATAATCCACCATACCGAGTTGAAATGTACATGTACTGTTTCTCTTAAGTTGAAATTCTTTATTAAATTTCCAGAAAGATAAAAAAGGAATTGTCTTTCATATTGTGTTTCTGTTGTCAATCATCTTGACATCTTGACTTTTTTTTTTTTTTAAATGTTACTATCTTCACTATCATTATATTGACATCTCAATATTTAAAGAGAACAACATAATGGCTGAAGTTTGTCATCGGAAAGGACTGTCTGACAGCAAGGTCGTGGACAGCAATACATTGCTTATCTTCTGTGTCAGTACTACAAATACCTCATACAACCTCACCCCATCTGAACTATCCCTTTAAACAGCAGAAATGGATGGATAGATTTCAGATCTATGTGGGAAAATATAATAAGTATCAGAAATACAAACATGACATAATGAGAACTTTTAGGTACTTTACACAGTCGTTGCTCAAATGTTTCACCAAGTTTGTGTTGTCTTGTATTGTCTCCCTTTGCGAGGCAGACTTTCTCTTGTTTTTTTTCACATGCACCAGCTGCGGATGTTGATACAGGTGTTGTCATACACACCACTTGTGCAATCTGTGCTCAAACAGGAAGAAGAAAGGCGTTTGTGTGCATAAATGAGTAAAATAAATTAACTAAATTAATGAACTGAATTAATTTCAAAGTACCGGTATTTTCCAAATGCAGTATAGTACCATTTGGAATACTCTAGTACCGAGGTACTATTTTAGTACCGGTATACCGTGCAACACTAGTATGGAGTTATGAAACGGGACCGTAAGTGTATTGTAGCCGCTGCTGATTGGTTAAGATTAAGCAAAGGTGATCAAAAGTGACCTTTGACATGAATTAAAATACAGTATACGTGTGCTTTTATCTCTTTGAATGTTTTTTATTTACGGTATGTATTATGTTTTTCCAGATACATCCAGATGCCCAGGCCATTCTGTTTCGAGCCCAGTAATCGTTACGTGGTTGCAATCAGGTTTCAGCGTCATGGGGTCTCACACAGACATCTCACTGCCTTCATTCTCATTGACTCGGTGAGCCCACCACCCTCATCATCCACCTCTGTATCTCTTTGACAGGTAGCAGCAGTGGTGGAATCTATCTAAGTGCATTAACTGAAGTGCTGTACTTAAAGGGGAACACCACCTAAATTAAGAATTCCAGTATGTTGTTTCCATGGCCTGGGAAAGTTCAATCAATGAGCATGAGCTACTCTCGCTGAAAGTCAGAAAGCAGAGAAGTAAGTCTCAAACTTGTGATGTCATCAAGTGTAAAATTTGGAGCTGCTTCATAGACAATAACTGGGAGCCTGGTTGTGTGGACCCACATGATGTTTCTTTTCTTCTTTATTCCCAAATGAGCTTTATTCTATTGTAGTGTTCTCAGTTCTGAAACAGAAAATGTACCCATATACTCAGAACAATGCCCTGGGTGCTCTCAGTATCATCTTGGACATCTTTAACAATTCATTGTCTATGGAGCAGCTCCTGACTTTATATTCTATGACATCACACATTTGAGCTGTAGCACTCTAGGTTTTGGATTTGGGAGTTGTTCCTGTTTACTGATACTTTTGAACTGTCATAGACCATAGGCATAACATGCATGAATTTTGAAGATGGGCGTAGTTCCAGTTTAAGTACAAATGTGAGGTTCTTGTACTTTCCTTCAGTCTTTTCTTTTCATGGCACTTTTACTCCACTACTTTTCAGAGAAAAATATAATTTTACTTTACTACAGTTACTTGACAGCTTTAGTACAGATTAAGATTTTGCATACATATGAACTATGATGTTTTGTTAAAATTAAACTACCCAACAGTTTACACAAGAGCAGCTGAAACAATTAGTCCATTAATGTTTGCAGTCACTTTATCTTTATATGAAAAAATATTTCATGGTTTTAGCTCCACAAGTGTAAGGGTTTGCAGAATTTCCTTTTAATTATTTTAATAATTGTAATTTGTTTTTAATCATTTTGAATTTTATACTATTGGCTGGGCACTGAAGATGTCACCGTTTTCAGAATTTTTACAAACAATAAATCAATAAATGGAGAAAACATTCAGCAGATAAATCTATAATGAAAATAATCATTAGTTTCAGTCTGATAGAAAATAGTTCAAATACATAATTAGAAAAATCAAACCGATAAGTAAAAAAAAAAAAAAGGTAAAATCCTGATTTTAAATTAATGCATGAGTAATAATAATCTAATATCACAGTATAGAACAGTATAATATTTTTCTGCAGTGAGTACTTTAATACTTTAAGTTTGTTTTCTCATTATAATTTTTATAGTTTTACTAGTACATTTTCAGTGCAGGACTTTGACTTGTAACAGTATTTTTAAAGTAGTACTTCCTCTACCACTGGGTAGCAGTACGTTTCAATATTAACATACCCATCTTTAATAAGTAGTTTGCTTTGGCTATGGCTGCATCAGTGCAGATCATTAGAGACAAACCTTCCTGGATTCAGGAAAAGTGTGTGTTAACTCATTGCTGAAGGTTTCACACTATGAGGTTTCCCCCTTGTGGTGGAAAATTACAAATGCAGATGTTGAATATATCTGGGCGTGGGATTAGTTTTAAAATAAGTAAGTAAAAGTCCTTTTAAGGCTCCTTTAAAGAGATTAAGGTCATTTCTGTAAACATGAAACAGATTTTGGTTTAGGTATGTATCTGTCCTGTTTTTACTCACAATGATTCCTGTCAACATAAAGCACAATGCAAGAAAAAATCTTTGGATTGTACAGTTGTTTTCTGTTTTTGAAACCCTTTTTTAAAAGCACTGTCATATTTTTATGTCTTACCTGCAATAGGAAAGTTAGGTTTACTGCCTCCTTGGCTTATAATCCCCACCTATTCACATCCATAGCTACAACTACACTAAAACCCTTCTTTTTAACCTTTATTTTTCCCCCCCAATAGCTGGTTCTGATCCCCAAATACACTGAGCTTCCTGGTTTCCAAGGTAACGAGCCAGAGGCCGAGCAGCGGCGGGACGAGATGACTCGATACATGTGTCTGGATTCCTTTATGATCACACCAATGCCCGCCCTGGCTGAGATGTGCTCCAAACTCATCTGTAGTATTTCATCCATCATTCATGATGGTGCTCTGCGTAAGTCGATACTGTGCAATTCAGAGGATGTTGGTTTAAACCACTGATGGGTCAAATCCTTGATTGCTTTTAAATAATAATAACTGGCTGATTTTTTTGTCTTGCCTTTTATCTGTATCTGTATCCAGCATGTCAGTGTGACCCTCAGGGCTCCATCAGTGGTGAGTGTGATAGGGTGGGAGGTCAGTGTCGTTGTAAGCCCAATGTGATGGGTCGACGATGTGACCAGTGTGCCCCAGCAACCTACGGCTTTGGAGTCAATGGCTGCACCGGTGAGTCTGCTATCTGATCAGCAAAGTCTGTCACATAATAACACCTTTAACTAACATCATCTGTCCCACGAGGTCAAACCAAAGCTGACGTTGCTGATACCTTTTGTCAACATCTCCAAAAATACAAAGAAATTCTATAAACCAGTGTTCTTGTAAGTTATTAATAACATACTCATAACACTGCTTTGTCGCCATCTGTCCAACCCACCAATGACAATGTCTAGCGTATTTAATCACTAATTATTAGATGGCATGTGAACTGAATTGTAGTGTTTATTTTAAAACACCATAATGCCTTTTGTAAAATAATCAAATCAATTTTTAAAATAAATACGTTAGAATAAATTATAAAAACTATTGTTGTAATATAAATCCTACAATATTACACAACTGTAGAATTGAAGAAAATACAAGCAGTCATTCTGCACAAACATGTCAGGACTAAATACGTGTAAGAGTGCTCTTGAGTGTGAGTAGATTCTGTTCATACATAAGAACAAATCCCAAATAAGAAAACACTGGTGAATGTCAGAATCTTTGTGAAAACTGCATACATGGGTAGGGGAAATTTCTTCTTAACAACGTTTGGTGAATGAGGCCTGACATCTGTGTGTGCTGTCCCAGTACATAGCTGAGAGCATCCCCACTGCCTCTTCTCTTACATTCACACACTCAAACAGTGGCGAGCTGGGGTGTAAATCCTTCTGCTTAACAGATGAATGTGTCAGCTGTGTTGCATGTAGCTACACCAGAAATGACACCTGATTTCAATGTATTTATCCAAGCTTGTCAGAGGTGTTGTTTCTCCCACAAAGATGGGTGATGAGTACACTGGTTCAAGCCTGTTCAGTAACAGCTGGGTAATTGAATCATCTGATAACCTACAGATGGAATCTGTGCTTGTTCGTTAACGAGGTTACTTTTTGTTTGTGGACATCACATAATGTGCCTTTTACACATTCTTCTGTGAGTAAACAGACTGTTGGGAGAATGCCTGTCAGATATGGGTTGGACTCCATTACTACACTCTCACTACTGGATTGTTCACGTCAATAGAGGAACTGTATGTAACCCTTTAAATCTTCCCATCCAGCCTGTGACTGCCACCCAGACGGCTCACTGAGCCACCAGTGTGACCCAGTTACAGGCCAGTGCCAGTGCAGGCAGGGAGCCACTGGGCGTCAGTGCTCAGACTGCCAACCAGGCCAGTGGGGCTTCCCAAGCTGCAGCCCCTGTCAGTGTAACGGCCACGCGGACATCTGTGACCCCCGCAGCGGGGAGTGCAGAGACTGCAGGGACTATACAGCAGGACACCTCTGTGAACGGTAAGAATCACTCTGGGTCAGACTTGACTAAACTTCATCGTTGGTCATCAGACTGGTGGTAAATGTCTCCCTCATTTGTTCCAGCTGTGTGAATGGGTTCTTTGGAAACCCAGTGCTTGGTTCAGGTGAGCACTGTCGGCCCTGCCCCTGTCCTGGTAACCCTGGCTCAGATCACTTTAATGGGCACTCCTGTCAAGCTGACCTCTCCTCCAACCAGATCATCTGTAACTGCAAACAAGGCTACACGGGTAAGCTATCCCGCTGCAGTGACATTCAGATATTCTTATATTGTTTGATCACTTTTTAGTATTCTATCGTTAAACTGTCTCTGTCTGATTGATAGTGTGAAAATCATAGAAACTGTAATGATTCTACAATAAAATTTTCACTACCCAACCCTCTAGTTTAGTTTCACATCAATGAAAAGCACTTTCAAAGCTAACAGTCATGCCATATTCTCCCTTTTTCTCTCCCTAGGGCCACGCTGTGCCCAGTGTGCCCCTGGTTACTATGGGAACCCAGAACAAGCCAGTGGGCAGTGCCTCCCGTGCAATTGCCATGGCAACATCGACACCCAGGACCCTGAGTCATGTGACCCCAGGACAGGCCAATGCCTCAAGTGCCTGTATCACACCGACGGCCCGTCCTGTGCCCACTGTCAACAAGGTTACTATGGCAACGCTTTGGCCCACGACTGCAGACGTGAGTGATGACAGCAGAAGTACATCTTTTTGTTGCTGTAACCATTTGCAAAACTCACATTTTATTATTTTGCCCCCAACTTTGTTTTCTTGTAATCCTAGATGACTGAAGCTAATTGTATACTAAATTCCCTGTAAGTTGCCCTAGATATGAACAGCTGAAATCTTAACTGAGCGTTGTAATATTTCATTATTTGTGTGTACAAACAGTTTGTTTTAACCAAAGGGTGTTGTATCTATATGTCCCAGTGGCATGCAACACTTACTGTATCCACAGAGATGAACCATACTGTCTTCTCTCTGTCTGTGTACTGAATATATGTTTCTCTGCTCAGGCTGCACCTGTGTAACTGCTGGTACCATCCAGTCTGCTTGCAGTGATGGACATTGTCACTGTGACCGGCAGACTGGAGCCTGCTCTTGCAGGGAGAATGTTGCCGGCCATAACTGTGATCAGTGTGCTCCTAACTACTGGAACTACGGTCAGGAACGAGGCTGTGAGCCCTGTGGCTGTGACCCACAACACGCCCTGGGCACTCATTGCAACATGGTGAGGAAACATGAAGCATAATGCAAAAATGAACTCCAACAAAAAGACATGTTTTTATTCTTGATCATTAGATATTCTTAGCTGTCTCACTCCCAGTCATTGTCAATCTGTGTTCTACAGTTCACAGGCCAGTGCCACTGTCGTCCAGGCTTTGGAGGCAAACAGTGCACTGAGTGTGAGCAGTTCCACTGGGGAGACCCGCAGGTGCAGTGTCAAGGTAACTCACTTTTTTGACAAATACTAGTGAATAAATAGCACTTGTGAACAGGAATGGTGAGTTTAGTCAGGGAACCAGACAAATCTGCAAGCTCATGTTTTATTTGCTCTGTAAGATGTGTCTGGTTCCCCTCTTATGCACACTTTCCAGTCGACCTGGCCCGCCTTGAGCCAAGCACAACCGCTGATCAAAAATGCAGCAGGTTTTAGATGACGACTGAGAACTTGCAACTTACGCAACTTGTGCAAAATACATGATGACGTCACTTATGGCTCAACCTCGTGCTGGGGACTAGCATAAACCTAATTTAGCCTAATTTAAAGGAGCACCACTGAGGCATTTTTTAAAACATCCAAGATGGCTTCAGCTGATGTGGAACTTTCTATTTAAAGGTCCTGTGTGTAGGATTTAGGATGTATTGGTAGAAATGGAAAACAATATAGTAAGTAGGTTTTCCTTAGTGTATAATCACCTGAAAATATTATTAGTCGTGTTTTCACTACCTTAGAATGAGCAGTTTATATCTACATAGTGAGCGGATCCTTGTCCACGGAGTCTGCCATGTTGCATTGCCATGTTTCTACAGTAGCCCAGAGCAGACAAACCAAACATTGTTTCTAAATAGGGCCATTTGCATTGTTGCATTTTAGCTCCACCATGACAAACTGAACAGCAGCAGAAAAACACAGACTTTTTTTTAAAAGCGAAACTGTTTTATTCAGTGTTTTTACTTGTTTAAATCAGTGGGTCCATTTGTTTTGGAGAGGAGGAGACCTCTGCAGATAATTACGCTAATGGTAAAAACCCTCCGTAATAGTGAAGACTGAAAGACTTCTAACCTCCTAACTGGTTTATGCTTGCAACACAGGAGAAGTTTCAGCTGTTGCAATCTGCAGTCCTCCCTACTAGATGCCACTAAATCCTTTACACTGCTCCTTCAAGTGCTATTTTTAAACACTTGTTCACAGGTATATTGACATTAAACCGTCACAGCTCACCTCTGCATGCTCTAGTATAATTTAATTTAATTTAATTTAAATTAATTTAGTTCAGTTCAGTTCAGTTCAACTTTATTTATCCTATGGGAAATTCCTATACCAGAGAATGCTTCATTACAGTAACACAAAATACCGTAACAGCAGTTAACATGCACTAAAGAAAAAACAATAACAACCAGAACAACCAATGGGTTCCCCAGGTCAGGTCACACACTGGGCCCAATTTTTGAAACAATAGAGTATTAAATATAAGTAAAAATACATAACATAGAAAGTGAACCAGTGCCTAATAGCGTAAGATAGCAGTAAGATAAGTACAAGAGTTATTCAAAATGAACTTAAAATAGTGGAAAAATGCAGACTGCTCCTGAGAGTCAATGGGAAGTAGTATTGCAGAGTTTGAGAAAATATATTGCACTATATTGACAAATGTTGCACCACATTGACAAGTTAAAAAAATAAAAAACAAACCTTAGTACACTGTACTACGGGACAACTATTAAGAGTACATAAATAAGAGGAAAAGGTAATAAAAACACAAGACAACAAAGAGTAACTCTAACAGGCTGCCCTTAGACAGCACTGAAAACAGAAAGGATCAGAAGTCAAAAATGAACTGAGAGGTTCTAGAAAAACTGCCATTTCAAGCTAGAGTGAATCCTCTGTTTTGAGTAGAAACTATGCAGAAACATTTAATGAAGCTGTAGAACAGTCCATTAATGCTTCATGCCAAATCACACTAAAACCAAAATTCTTTTAAAAGAGGACACAGGATCTTCTGTAAATTGATCCAGTCTTGTTCGCCTCACACAATCACTGACTGAGCAGCCGCAGCTTCAGACCTTAGCCTGTGTCTACACAGAGGCCCGACTCCTTTTCCATTAATAATATAATTAAATAACTAAATGATGATAAATCTGGATGACAATGTGGCATCGTAAAACCATTACTATCTGCATCTTTAAGACATTGCTAGATTCATTCTTACAGTCTTTGGACCTGCAGATCATTTTTATGTTTTTATTTTCTGTGTTCTTCCTCTGTCCTTCCATCAGAGTGTAACTGCCATCCTCTGGGCTCAGAGATGGCCCAGTGCGATCGATTAACGGGGGCATGCGAGTGCAGGGAGGGAGCAGCGGGGAAGCGCTGTGATGAATGTGCACGCGGCTTCACTGGCGACTTTCCCAAGTGTGTCCAGTGTCACCCTTGCTTCGAACTGTGGGACGATACGGTGTGCCAGATTAAAAGGGACCTGGAACACATCCAGTATGTTACACAGAAGATCCTGGAGAGCGGGATCACGCCAGGAGTCGGGGACACACGTATCAAAGAGCTTGAGAGGAAGCTGAAGCAAGTGCAGGATCTGATCAGTGCGGAGGACAGTGACAGGATCCACCAGCTGATTGGACAGAGCATCGATGACCTCAGGTGATGATGTCACATAGTGTCTGGATGTTCATTTAGGATGTTAAGCATGATCTGTCACCTGCCACCAACTGCCTGGATGTTATGTAAAATATCCTGCTCTATGTGTTCCAGGGCTGAGATCGCCATGACCGACGGGCGTCTGATGGTCGTCACCAGAGAGCTAAATACAACAGCAGAAGAAGATAGGGCACTGAGGCGCACATTGGGTGACCTAGAGAGAGAGCTGAGGAACGTCAACGCCACTGTGGCTCACAAACGACGCCTACTGGATGACTACCTCACCTCAGGATTTGCAGGTAACTTAATCAAGTAAAGTAATAATGATACATTCATATTAAGTAAACCTCAATCAAGCAACTGCAAAATATTATGAAAGAAATTCTAATATTAGTTATTATTAGGGGTGTCCCCGACAAAGAATTTTCATAGTCGAATCTGATTTGACAGATTTTTCCTTTAGCTGACTAATCATCGAATCATGTTGTTTTCCCCCTCACTGATTTGCATCAGTTTCCGCTCCAGAGAAAAGAGCTAAAACACCCAAATAAACAAATTTAATTCTTCAGTTGGCATAATAAGATAATAATAATAAAAGTAAAAGGGTTATCATTTTATCTTTATGTTTATTCCTTTCACTTCATCAAGATATGATGCTCTAGATGAGCGCAGACGTGCTGCAGCCTCATCCATGTCTTTAACAGGAGTCGTTTCTGACTCGTCAGAACTTGCCATGTCATTCACAAATAAACATCCAAAAACATCATCAAAAGGTTTAGAAACAGTTTTTATTCTTTCTGACTTCAAGTTACTTCATTAATCAACTCGGGTTCATACAAGTTCATCCACACGGACCGCGCGTCACCACTCTCAATTGTTTGGCCACGTCGGACAAAAAGTAGCCAAATAAAAAATCTGAGTCTATCAAGAAAACAATCAGCAGTGAAAATCGTTTCGAGACACTGAAACGAATAATCCTTCAAAAAAGTTTGATTTGAGAGCACATACCTCCTCCAAAGTGTTTGTTTATGTGCTCCGCCACCGTAAATCACTGTAGGCCTCGATGCTGCTCTGATGGTCCTGCAGTGCACTCACTCACCTCACTTTATTTGGATCGAGCAACTGGGTGATTTATTCATGCGTAGTATTGATTATGCCTACTGATTAAACGCACACGTCATTTTCAGTTTTTTATTAACAGAAATTAGGCTGATGTTTGTATCAAAATAGGCTATATACCATGAATTACTAGAAAACAAATACATTCTATGTCAAATCAGCAGCAGTGAGCACCCCCATATAGTCAGAATGGTACGGTCTTGTTTCATAACTACATTTTGTGACGGGCAGTCAAATCAGACTTCTCTGAATCGAATCACCGAATCATTGACTATTTGGGGTCACCCCTAGTTATTATACATAAAAGTATAAAAACTTTGGCTTGTTTTCTCACAGATCAGTTTGAGAAAGTGAAGAAATACTATCGGGAGTCAGTGGAGGCCGAGGAGAAATGCAACGCATCAGTGTCCGGGCCTCTCAGTCCTGTGGAACAGTCCAAAGAAACCCGTGCTATCACTGAGGACCTGCTGGACGCCAGTAAAGACAAGTTCCTCCGCGCTCTGGCTGCTCAGAACAGATCATTAAACGAGCTGCAGCAGAAAGCCCACGACCTCGACAAGAAGGTCCATCACCTCAGTCACAAGGTAGGTAGTGTTGGGGATTTCATTTATTCATTATTTCGTCAATTTATCCCAGAAGGTGGAAAAACAGATTGAAATTTTGATTTTCCTTGAGGAAAAAATAGGGAGAGCTGCACTGGGTTAAGACTCTGTGTAGTTGGTTGTAGAAAAAATCAGGTACTCTTCAAGGATGGCGCAGAGTCACTTAAAGATTAAAAACCCTGATGAAGACCCGACATCAGAAACGTGCTGGTCTACACATGTACTAATAAAGGATTTTAAACTACAGTTAGATTGCCTCGGATGTAGTTTTTGACTTCCTGCCCATACGATGGACTTTTTCACCGAGTGAACTGGCCAGTTTTGTTTCGTTTGTTTGTCCCCCCCCACCCTTTTTTCCCTCTGTTTTCATATTGAGGTGGATAATCTAGTAAACAGCAAAGCTAAAAACAAAAAACATTTCTGTTTTTCTGTTATTTTGTTTTGTGCTGCATGTCTCCACCACGCACAAACAAAGAAAAACATTGAAGAAATGTTTTATCCCCTTAATGTTTTTATTTCTGACTGTAGGTTGATTACTGGCAGCTTCAATACAAATAATAAAATAAATAATATAGAAAACAATGCTGTTTCCACTTTGAGATGTTTTTTCATGAAGAAATACTTTACCCCCAAAAAGACCATTTGAATATTAATTACTTTCCACATGTTACATTGAATTTGTGGAGAAAACTGTGTCTTTCTCATATTCCTCCACAGTGAATGAAGAATCCAAAAAATTACCAATATTGTTGATGTACTAAAGGCATCGGTGGCTGCGTTTAACAACAGCAAATTTATATCAAAACATCCGTTTAGTCTCATTTATCCAGTCGAATGCTCAGTACTCAGTCCAATGGGAAACTAAAAGTGAGATTTATCTATGCTCTGTTCAAAGCCAACCAAAACTGTGATTTTACCTTGCTGAACATGGGTAGCAGCTGGTCTACCGTTGCCTCAATAGGTAGTGCCCGTTGTAAAGGGCTGTCTGATTGGTAAGTGCTCAGCATATTACTGGATAAATGAGACCTGGATTATACTGCACAAGTTGTGAGAAAGTTTTGTTGAATGTTCTGATACAGTTTTGCTTTTGTTAAATGTGGACCCCTATGACTTCAATTCATCAAGAATTTTCTCCATTTTTGGATTCTTCATTCACCATGGAGGTATGTGAGAAAAACAAATTTTTCTTCACAAATTAATCATAACACAGGCTGAGTGATTCATATACGAATGGTCATTTGGGGATAAAGTATTCCTTTAAATTTGTTTCTGAAGGTATGTTTTGTTTTGTTTTTTTTCTCTGAATGTATTTTTAATCCTTTTCTCATTCCACTGACCCAACTATTTCATGTGATTGATAATGCACTGGTGCTCCCTCCAGGTATGTGGTGGTCATGGCAATGGCAGTGTCAATGGCAGTTGCCCAGACAGCCAATGCGGAGGTGCTGGTTGCCGTGACGATCAGGGCAATCCTGTATGTGGAGGAGAGGGATGCAACGGGACAGTGAGCACCTCTGTAGCAGCACTGAATCTTGCCAGGAATGCCACTAACAGAGTGAACGCTGCCGATGAGGAGCTGCAGAGTGTGGCGAGAAAGGTCATTTTCATTGAATATAGTGTAGAAGTGGTGGTGTACTCTCTTACCTGCTATGACTATAAAGTATAAGGTCTTTCTGTTGACATCTTGGTTTCCTGTCTCCAGCTCCAGGATATCGCCTCTCTGACACAGGACGTGAAGAACCAGGCGATGAACACACTGGAGAAAGCCCAGAAAAAGAAGGACCACTTTGAAAACAACAACAAGAAGCTCAAAGATTTCATTAAGAAGATCAGAAATTTCCTCACTGGTATATGATAATAATAATTATCATCATTTCCATTGTGGCAGAAATTATTTTCTTGTATTAAATTAGATGTTGGTGACTGAATTTTTCCCCTTCATCCCTTTGTTGTCCAGAGGAGGGAGCAGATCCAGAGAGCATAGAGAAAGTGGCTCGGCAGGTGTTGTCCATCACCCTGCCGGACAACATGACTGCTCTGGACAGAATGGTCATGCAGATAAAGACCAGCCTTTCAAACCTCACCAACATTGAGGGGATCGTCAACCAAACATCGCAGCACATCAGCACAGCCAAGGAGCTGCTCAACAAAGCTAAAGATGCCAAGTAAATAAGGCTTCTGTTTTTCTTGTTTGCTTTTTAAATTAAGACCACATTTGCCTAAACCATCTTGCTTGCTGTCAGAAAGAGCACAGTTGCTCAATTCACAATTCTGGTGTGAGACACCAGCTCAAAGCTGCCTGAACAAATACAACACACATTGGGGGTGCTGCTGGGAAGCTGGTCCATGCAGCCATGCATCTCCACAAACACTGGACATCGCAAACGAGTTAGACGTTATTTCCCTTGTGTGCTGAAAATGATATATTGCAAATTTTGTATCACTTTGTACATCTGCTATGTAGAGCCCCTCTCCTCACCCTTAAATGCGCCGCACGAAGGCGTAATGAGAGTTTACTCAATTCGCCATGGCAGAAGAGAGCAGCAGCGTCAGACGGCCAAACTTCTCCCAGGAGGAAACTGATGTTTTGGTCCAGGAGGTCCAAGCTCGCAGTGTCCGAATAAACGGAACTGCGAGCAGACCTCCACGGGCTGATGATGCAAAGGAGATCCCCACAATTGTAAATCAATGTTGCGTTTCTCTCGTGTGCGCACACTCTCTCTTTCTCTCTCGCAGTCTCACTCTGTTTCTTTTCTTTTGACTTTTCGAAGATGACAGATGCTGAATATATACTCCCTATCTGATGCTGTGGCTGTTTGTGGTTGGCTGAGAGGGATGTGAACTCATTAGTTTGCTGTGTTAATCAAATCAGGTTGGGTTTCCATTACGTGTGCCAAACGTGCCAAACGGTGCCAATCCCCTTTGATCTGACATCAGATGTGACGGGACAGTTGATATAGAGATACATTTATGTGCTGATTACAGATAGTTGCATTGAATAGTGTTTTTTGTGGGTATTTATTGCATTGTTAATGTGCCTGATATTCTGGAAACCTGCCTGTGAGGTTTTGGTGACATGTGCGCACTGTCCGCCGGTCAGCCAAACTTTGGCTTACACCAGCTGCGCTCCGCCTGCGCTGACAATAGACCTGGTTTCAGCTGGCGAGCTTTTAGCGCACCTTTGGCGAAGCCTTTTGGCACGAAACTGTCACTGCGCCAAGCTGGATCTGTCGACACCTCCCCCTGCTGCGCTGCCACACCCATCTCAGCGCACCTCGGTCTGCCAAACTACCAAACTGAGCGCGCCTCGGGTTGTGCTGCTCGAAACTAGCTCTACGCGGGGTTCGCCACCCTGCGCTGCGCTGGGAAACTAGAGCCCAACAACTTAAAATTCATGTGAATCAAATGATGTTTGTCACACAAGGCCTACTTCCTGTTCCCAGTAAGTGGAGCAATTGAATTGACTCAGTATTTGCAAGTAGATGTAGTCAGGCCAGAACTCAAGCATGATAAATTTCGGGCAGACTGGACAACATACACTGAGGTTACAGTAACTTCCTACCATGAAAACTCAAGATTTTTTCTGTTTTTCCCTTTTACCATAGAGTTCAATTTTTAAGTTTTGACGGTGTCTCTCATGTTGGTATTTTTATTTGACTTGTTTTGTTTTTTTGAGTGGCAGTGATTTTATGTTTGTGTAGAAATGCTACACAAACTAAATTAAGGTAAACCTTACCTACTATATTGATTACGTCATAATAATAACAACAACCTTTTGTATTTGTCTAATTTCTGGTGACATTGTGTAGGAGCCGAGCAGAGGGAGTGAAGGATACAGCCAATCGTACCCAGCAGGCACTGGATGTGTCTGAGAAGGCCATACAGAAAGCACGAACAGCCCTGAGCGAGGCCAGAGACAACCTGAACAGCACAAGGAATGCTACAGATGAGGTACAGCAAGCTTGAAAATTAGCTGTGTGTTTGATATCTTATTTGCTGTTTCACATACTCTACCTAGTTATAGGTTACAGGCAATTGAACCACCTGCTTGTGCTTGCTTTTCTTTCCAACATCAACATACTACATTCCCCTATTTCCTCGTTCATCCCCTCAATTCTTAACCTTTTTTGTTTCACTCCTGTCTAGGTGAATGAGAGGCTAACACAGCTGCAGGATAAGCAGATGGATGTTATGATGCGTTTAAACAACCTCTCCATGGAGGTAGAAGCTCTCAGGAACAAGACAGAGCAGAACAGACAGATGGCAAAGGACGCCAACGCACTGGCTAACAACGCCACCAACCTAGCAACCTCACTGAAGCAGGTGTGGGCAGATTTTTTATGATTTTATTTAAAACAATATATGTCATGCCTGTCCCAGAATGGATAAAAGGGAGCTGATATTGTCGACAACATCAGGATTTTTTTTATGGTAAATAAAGTGGAATCATAACTAATATTATCGCATTGTCTCTCCCAGAGTCTCAACGACACAGAGAACAGGTACCGGGAGCTGCAGAGGAAGGTGGACTCTCTTGGTGGAGAGTCTGGAGATCTGAACAGCATCAACCAGAAGGCCAAGGACATGAAGAAGGAGGCAGAAGACCTCTTAAACAAGGCCAGCAAAGGGATAGAACAACTCAGGAGTGAGTACATGAAGCTGTTCTCAGGGCTGACTGTCCTTTAATTAGGTGGACTGCGTACAGTAGGGAGGTGTAATGAAACAGTTAACCTCTCCTCATCTGTTCTACTGTCAGGATATAGTGACCGCTTCAGTTAAGTTGTTTTTGTAAAAGTTACCAATTGCAGCTTTGTTGATTCCTGTGGATACTTTGATTATCCATTGATGGTATTCAGCTGTAGAGATTCCCCTTTTGTTTCCTATTTTGACTTCTCTTCCTGTCCGTGGTTGCAGAACTGGAGAAAAAGTTCAAGAATAACGAGCAGCGGATGCAGAAGCAGCGCATGGAGCTGGACGGGCTGAAGGAAAACGCTACTCTGGTGCGGGATGAGATCCGGGAACAAGTGCAGAAGTACAGTAACTGTGTGTGAGGATGCTACAGTTCCCTGTTTACCATTTGCTGCTGTAGTTCAGAGCAGAGTTATGACTGATGCTGTGACCGGGACAGAAAAACGACATCAACCATAAAAACAAAACCCTGCTTGGGCACCTCCAATCTTTCACTGGTATATTAAGTTTTACACATTACCTGTCAAGTGTTATATCACAGAAATGCCTTCCTCTGTCCATGTACTGTACCACTTTTTGACACTGTCCTGTATGGTGTTTATGTCTCTAAGCTATTACATCAAGTGGATGACCTGTGGAGAGTATTCGTTTCATTGTATAGGCTATGATAATTGATTACATGAATAATAAACAGAAGAAATATATCAGAATATGCTATCAAAAAAATTGATATTTTGACCAAAAGTGCTCATAATATTTTGTGTGTTTTGCTGTAATTTGACCACATGAGTATGATATTTACGATATGACATTCCTATTAAGAAATATGTTTGATTTTTGAAATTTAAAGTTGTGTTTATTTTTATTACAAAAGAAACTCTTGATTAAATTCATATAAATACATACACAAGTATTCTTGTAAGCAAAATTCATTCTGAGCTGTGATGATGGAGACAAATAAATTTGATACTGTTTATGTATCACATCATGTGTCCCGTTTGTGTGTGCAGAATTTACAATATGAAGTTTATGTTTTTTAGCACATTTGCATCAGTAAATGTTGTTTTAATGTCATGGTCACAAGGGGGCGCCATATGTTTAGCAAGTGTGTTCCTCCTGTCTTCAGCCTCACCTATGCTCTCTTTGACTCTGTTCTTGCACCTGTTAACTTTTCACAGCACAGTTTGACATGTTATAGCAGGAAAAGCACTGGTGTAATTGATAAAAGTAACTGCATTCTATTAAGGTGAGTGATGGATAAAATGGCTGCTTGCACATGAAAGGGTTGATCATGATGATGACCCCGCAGAGAATTATCACCTGACTCTCCAGCTCCCCTCAGCCGACTACTTCAACTCAAGAGTTTCTCAGCATCTCTGGGGAATTTCCTGCGCCTTTTCTTCAGAGTCTTTAAAGATAGAATGAGATAAATATGAGATAAATGTCATGACTGAGGGGTTGTGAGCTAATTAATGGGGTAGGAAAGGAAGAAAAAAAACTAAACCTCTGGTGTACTGATTTGTATTCAAATCCTGGACTTTTCTCTAAGCTTATTTTTTCATATATATAATTTTATCTCTTCGGGCCTCAAACAACTTATCTGAAATGTGACGAGGAGCCAAAACGACATGACCTTTTTGTTGTGAGGGTCAGAAGCCAAAAGGTTGAACCAGTGGTTTAACGCTGCATTTGTGGTGTCAGAATGATTAAAAAAAATTGGTTCAGACCAGGAAAAAAATCCCATGCTCCCTTGAGTCAGAACAACTTTGAAAGTCAATTGATTGTAATAAACTTTTTATCAGTTCACATATTGCATGTCAGTTTTTTGCTCAAATGTAATGTGTAATATGGTGTTTGATTGTAACTGTTATTGTCCACATAGTTAGTTTTGTTAGTTTTGTGTTAGTTTTAATACCCGTAAGGTTAAGTTATATTTCAGTAGTTCTAGGGGATGAACTGATGCAGGAACAAGTCTGGGACAAAATGACTGTACTATAAAGCTTCAAACTGTTATCAATGTGTTGTTTAAATGCTCTGAGCAATAACATAACAACACATCTTCCTTTTAACATCCATGTTGTTTCCATATTATGACTTAAAGCTCAGGAACACACCAAGTTCAAAAGAACGGATCATCAGAGGAGCACATGAATGCAGCCTAATCTTTTTCTGTAAATTCTTAATAAAACCAGTAACTATGTCTGTGAAATTAAAGGAATGTTTCTGTCTGAAATGTAGTGGAGCAAAAGTATGATCTAACATAAAATGGAAGTATGAAATTGTACTAAAGTAGCCTACAGTACTTGAGTAAACAAACTTAGTCACTCTCCACCAATAGTTGAAGACCTCATATTCCCAGCAGAGGTCTGATTGCAACAACTGAAAACACCTGTGTGGATGTTGAGGGTCCCTGTGTGTGTGTGTGTGTGTGGGGGGGGGGGGGGGGGGGGGGGGGGGGGGGGGGGGGGGGGGGGGGGGGGGGGGGGGGGGGGGGGGGGGGGGCAATCATCGCTAACATGTTGACCACAAGCTCTGTTCAGTCATAGGTTCCTCAGCCACATATCTATATGTACATATGTGTGGAGTCCCATTCATTCCCCTGCTGTTCTCAGGATGAAGGAGCTGTGCTATTCTCTGTTGGGCTCTGGCACTGGATCCTGAGCTCTAACAAAGAGAGGCTGTCCTCTGGCAGTGCAGGGAATGTGTAATATGACAGAGATTTACAGCAGGCTTTGTTCTGGAGACCACAGCACCTGTACACATCTGACATGCTGTGTTATAGAGAGTGATCCCAAAGAAAAAGGTGATTTGATGACATGCTCTTAAAATGTGATAGATTGCATTCATATGTTTTGTCTAAAGCCTTCAGAAGATCCATACACTGAATCAGATAAAAGCTACATGAAAATAGAGTCTGTCTCTGTTCCCCACTGTATGACTGCAAGCAGCGGAGATCGTCTCAACCACCTGTTTTGAGACTGAGCAGGCAGCCTGGGGATCTGTGATCTGTGCGCGCCCACGGGCTGCTCACTGGTTGCAATCAAAGGGAATCTAATCCGTCCAGCAGGGAGCGCGCATTCCTGCTCCCAGACACACACAGGGGCTCGCTGGAAAACATGAGCTGGGTTTGCTGAGGAAAACCTGCAGGTCTCCCTGAAAAATATTACATTAGAAAATGACACCAATGATAAGGTAATTGTAAAGACATGGAACAGAGTGTCTGTAAGATATCATTTTATGTACCTCATATCAAAGCCTGCTTCATGTTTGCCTCATATATGTGTTTTTTTCTCTCTATGCAAAGTTACTGAGAGAGACAACTATACTTTTTTAATCAGGAATTAGCCCACCACCCTCTAAAATATAAATGGTACAATGTAATCCTTCCTACCATTTGATAAAGCACATTTTTAGTTATGATAAATTGCTGAAAAACAAGTTGTGGCCTAAATTAACCTGAGAGCCAGCACTTGGAGTATGTTTTTGGCCCAAAAAAACGCCCTGCAGTTTTCAGAATTGCACATTTCTAAGTGGCCTGCTTTCATGAAGTCAGTGTGAAATGCATAAAAATCTTTCATTGACATGTGACCTGTTGTGTATGTCTACCAATGGGCTGAGATGACAATTAATAGTAAAAGTTAAAGCCTAATGCAGTTTGCAACCTGGACCCTATTTCCCAGTGTTTCTGTGTCCAAGTGACTCATAGGAGCAACAGTTTTTGAAAGAAGTCCAGTACTGAGAGAGAGTGCTGCAGCCAGCAGCGGCAAAACAGGCTGTAATGTAACCACTCGGGACAGTTATGAATGAACCATCACTTTACGTCCACTAAAGTGCTTGTTTTGCCACTGACAGGCTCAAATAATTATTGTAAGTATCTGACAACATAACAAAAAGCACCTCTAGCGAGGTAGACCTACTTGTTAAAGAGTAAGATCCTTTTTGTTGAACCAGAAACAGCCCCAAATTTGCTATCACCAAACCCACCAGGCTCCATTTCAACAAATAGTAATTATAGCATGATTAGAGCCAGCATATATCTTTTTACATCTGACAGGATGAATTAATGGTTCAGAGTTGGTGTCTGTTGGAACAGTGGAAAGACAAATCACGACGGCTTTAGTGAGATTTATCTTCTCCATGTTGACTTTGAATGAAGTATGTTTTACGATGATAAAATTGCTGCTTATTTAAATTGAATCAGGTGAGTGTGCTGATAGCTACTCTAGGGCTGTTTCTGGTTAAACAAAATGGTCTATCTCTGTAGGGATCCACCAGAAAAAAACAACAAACTGTTGAGCTGTTCCACCGAAACACTGACGAATAAGTCTGATCTAGTTCTATAAAGATTGCAGTGTCCATAGAGGTGGCCAGATGGAGCCACTGAAAACCTTGGGTGGCACACCAAAACCAAAATCCATAACTGAATTCCAAGAATTTGCTGATGCTGTTTAAGTATATAGGCTAGTTAAAAACTATGTCAATATGCAGAGCTAAGGAATCGCATACTGATGTATTTTGGTTTATTGTTCTACAATTAGTACTACTGATAATCTGATGTGCATAGACTAACACCGGTACAGTTAATAATTTGAAAGAGTACATTGACTGTCAGGAACAAAACATTACCTGGGAACAGGCCCACTTAAGTTTCGGGGAGACATGTTGGTACCCATAGCACCCATTTCTTTCAGATATCTTGAAGTGAGAGTTTAAGGGACCCCTTTGAGAGTGGCCATGCCAGTTGCTCCCCCGCCAAAATTTAGCCTAAATGTGGACTATTATTTAGTCCCTTTCCTGTCAAGCTATGTCGACATGGTTGGCATCATTGGGTGCCTTACGTTGTCTAGTTTTACAACATACCACTACCATCTTGCTAACCTACACAACCTCTTAAAGACAGTATAATAAGCCTCCAGTTATTTTCACCGGGGGGGCTAACATGTGTAGGCCTAATCATATCTGTTACCGTAGGGCATGACAAATATTCACACAGGAAAATTCATCATCTTTTGAAATGTGTTGCATGTCTACATTGAATGTATGTATCCACTGAGTTTCAGGCCTATTGAATAGGCCTAAGTGTTTATTTCACTTTAATGGAGGCCAAATCTTAAACATTTGCCAGAGGGTCATTATTAAAACAAAGTCAATAAATACGGAGAAAAAATGTTTGGGACCATTAAAGGTTTATTGTATTTTTTTAAACATCCGCCCACCCCGGGACTCGAGCACACGACCGCATGTCTCGCGCCCTCCCCCGTCACTGTCCCGCTCCGCTCCGGGAGTCCAGCTCGGGGTTTCCGGCGCAGAGGCGCAGGAGCTGAGGACTCCTCATCGCTGTAACACTGCTCAGCCTCGCATCCGTCCGGCAACTCCGCAGCAAGTGGACCGAGAGGGAGACCGTAGTCGAGCACAACACAGGAACAGGACGGTGAGTGTTGTCTTTGTGACTAGCTGACTAACTTGTGAGGACAGCCGTGTAGTTTAACTCACCGGACTGCTGAAACATTTTGCTTTAAGGAGTGAAACAGGAGAGGAGAGGTGATTTTTTTTTAATTTACCGGTTTAAACAGCACAGAGGGGCTCACCAAAATAACTGCAGACATTTTAATATCGTGGAAATTGATAGTGAATTCAGAAAGCAGTCAGACAACTCTTGGACCCCTGGGTGTCCCCGACCCAAACACTGGGGACCTCCTGCTGGCAAACAATAAAAGCCAAAATGTGCGCTCCTCTGCGGGGACTACAACTTTATGTAGCCTTCTTCACATCAGTATTTCATGTTTTAATCCAAACTCATTCGGTGCTTGTTGAACCTCTTTGTGGTGTTACACTGTTCGCTTCATCACCAAACTGTTGCATGCCGCAGGTTGCCTGCAGCCCCGCGGGTTGATGTGCGCTCAGAGATGCAAGCGTCACTGCTAATGCTCGTCTGCGGTAAGTACTGTACACCACCGAGCCCTTTAAAGTCAGTCCATGTTTTCT